CACTAGTTACCCGTTTGGTTCACTGAATGAATTTGAGGGGAAATCATTTCCCAATGGATGGGAAAAGGAAGATTCTTTTCCCATGTTTGGTAATGCTAGGAAAGTAACCGAGAGATATCACTTTATTTCCTTTCCCATATTTGTTTTGAGTAGGAATGGAAAACAAAGTTTGTATAAAATTTTCAATTATACCCATATTAAATCAAATAAAAAAAATGGGTTTAATGATATATTATAATTCTAAATTGTTAATGGGGACAAAATGGTCATGAAAAATGTTTATTTAATATTGGCTCATTTTCCCAAACTTTCCCATGAAGAGGGAAAACAAAACCCAAGTTGGGAGGATGGCTTCACTTTCCCCCCTACTTTCTCATGGGCCAGGCAACGATTTCCCAAGCCTGGACTTACCAAACATGGGAAAGTAATTGATTTCCCATCCCCAAGTCTCCTTTCCCATGAACCAAACGGGGCCTAGAAGTCGTTCCATCTCCGTCTTGAAAAAGAAATAATTTTATTATGCGGGGAGTGGCACCAAAGTTGACAGCAATTCGGAAAACTTGGGGGGTTTTATGAAGTTTTTTTTTTTTTTTTTTGTGTGTGGCCAAAAGTCACTTTTGATCCCTGTAATTTGACACTTTAACCACTTTTGATCATGCAGTTTCAATTTCGTCAATTTTTCCATAGTAGTTTCATAATTGTAGCAATTTAAGGACAATTCTACTTTCCATCAAAGGGTTAATCGTTTTATTAGTCCTTGAACTTAGACCCGATTTGCATTTGAGTACCTCAATTTCCAAAATGGTTCCTATGGTCCATCAACTTCAATTTCGTTTGGACAAATGATCCTGCCGTCAATTTTGTTAACTTTTTCTGTTAAATGCAGGGGCAAAATGGTATTTTTGTATCAAAATTGATAAAAATATGAATAAAAAAAATTAAAATTAAACTCTCTCTCTCCCCTTCTATCCCGATTTCTACTCCCCCAAACTTGATTTTTCTTTTTCTTTTTTGGTTGGTTTTTTATTTGATTTTCTTTTATTGTTATTTTAAAGATATGATTTTTTATTCATTTTTTTGGTTTTAACATAAAAATACCATTTTGCCCCTACATTTAATAGAAAAAGTTAACAGAATTGACAACAAGACCATTTGTCCTAACGAAAGTGAAGTTAAAGGACCATGGGAACCATTTTGGAAATTAAGGTACTCAAATGAAAATCGGGTCTAAATTCATGGACTAATAAAACGATTAACCCTACCATCAAATTATTCTAACTTTTGTTATCTATTAAGGGGTATTTTGGTCCAAACTTGCACCCTTCCCCAACCATCTAACACTCAAGAATGGTCCCCCCCTACCCAACCCAACCCAACCCAACCCCAGCTAGCCACCACACCCTTAAATGACAGCCACCATAGCCTGCCAAGGCCGCCCCAACCCCAACAAAGGCTCAAGGCAGAAGCAAGCAAGCAAGTAGAGAAGCTAGAAAAAGAAAAAAGGTTTGAAATTTGGGCGTCTAAGACAGCTAGAAAATGACTCACATTCAAGCTAGCATGTTTGCCTATAAGATGAAGACAGAATATTGTCATCCAAACACATTGACCAAGGGAGTTAATAATGTACAAGTTTCATATATGCACTCAATAGATCTACAGAGAGTTGCTTGTTCGTCTGAACAGGCAATGTTGAATCATGCATGAAATGTAACACCAAGTATTAGTGGTGAGAGAGAAATCTGTAATGATGCTTTGAGGAAGTGTTTCTCTGGGTAAAAGGAAGAAATGGCCAAAACGCAATAAATCTACATGGTTCAAGAATTGACACACGTGTCGCCCATCATCTAATTATTATAACACAAAATAATCCAACTGACCAAACGACAGAAAGCAATCGTTTGTTTTTAGGTAAAAAGAGGTTGATAAGAAAAAGACCAACGGACAGCAACCACTGCGTCTTAAGTAAAAAGAGGTTTACGCTAAATAATATTCTTCCAATTCAATTGATTCCTTGATATGGCCTTGAGTTGTTGAATATTGGTCTGATTTTTTATATGAGTCATAAGGTTGAAATATTGAACCAAAATTACGTAAGGAAAGTGCGTGGCACGTGTCAACATATTGTGTTATAAGAATTAACAAGCAAGACACGCCACCATTTCGACTTGATTAAAGATCATCACCATTAATTATGTAAAATAAATTAGAGATATGCCTTTTTGCAGCCTTGGTCGTATTTAATTAGTATAAATGTGGATTTGCCTTGTGTTAATCGGCTTGATATTCTGCCCCACGCGGTTTAGCCGCCCGCGTATGAGCCACCACCTTCTAAGAAACAACCACTCCATCAGTTCTTCCCCATTCTCATCTGCATCTGCTTCTCTATTATAAATATTCTTCATCTCTCATCTCTAAACCAATAACTCAAAACCTTCCAACTATTTCTCATTCCAAGTATCTCTCATCTCATATTCTTTTGAATTTCACAGCCTTTCTTCAAAGATGAGTTCAACAAATTCCACAGGTACTGAATTTCTGCACTTCAATTACTAGTTTTCAGCAACTTGGCAAAACACTTTGAAAATTCATTTGTTGTTGGTGGGTGGGTTGCTTAAAGTTTTGAACTTGTGTTCAACAATATGGTTATTGACAATTGTTTGATGAATTTCATGTAGCAGCAGCATACCCTGCCCAAGCTCCCAACTCTGCCCAGCAATATCATGTGCAAGCTCCACCTCCTGCAGGCTATCCAACAAGAGATGTGCCCCAGAACTCTGTTCCTGTAGAAACCAAGTCAAAGGGTGATGGCTTCTGGAAGGGCTGCTGTGCTGCCTTGTGTTGCTGTTGTGTATTGGATGCTTGCTTTTGATTGAAACAAGTCCACCCAATAATCTCAATATCTCTGATCATCATCATTTATATTTTTACACTTCATAGTTTTTAGTTTTTTGTATGATATTGAAGAAGAGACCATGTAGATTGGATACAGTTTCTGATTGTCCAACTCTCATCATCTTTGTATAATAATTGTTATTCATTTCAGATATCTGGCTGCTACTTTTTTTCTTTTTATTTGTTCTTCTTCTTTGTAGTGGTGATGTTGGATTTGTTTCTTTGTATATGGTCAGATTTAATCCCTTAATAATACACAATCGTGTTCTTTTTTTGTTTTAGTTTAAACTCTTTTGTCAATGTTCAAACATTAGGTGAGAGTTGATGGTGATCACTTGGATATGAAGATCATACGAGTAAACATAAAGCAATCAAGCCCGCGTGTTTGACAAACTTGTCATTGATATTTTTGAAACTCTATTATCTGGTCCCATTGCCCACTCTCTTTTATATGCTTTGTACAAATTCCATTTAAATAAAATTATCAATATTATTGACGTCAAAAATTGAATTGACGAGATAAGGTCACGAAACATAAACCCTACAGATATATCGTGGTTCACCCGTGGTATGGTTGTTTTCAATATTATAGACGGTTGTTACATTGTACACATGCTTGAGAGCCTTTGAGAAGGTAAAATGAGAGTGCATGACAAACTAGGTTACAAATGAAGGTAGCGTTCCCTTAGATGAGCATGGCTTGGACCTTCTATTGTGAGCTTCATATGAGCTCAGCGAGGCCTAAAATATCACATCCAAAACTATGGGTGCCAGTGCCACGACTCTGCTTGGCCCACCTCCACCCTCAACGGTCGACTGAATTATAGTTATATTTTTGGTTCGAATAAAATTGGTTATAGAAAAAAATCTTGGTGCTAACCATTGCTTCCACTAAGTCGCCTTAGAAACTTGTTTATATTTAGATACCATTTAAATATATGGTAGATGGGGTGGAGAAAAATACAGTTGTCCAAAATTGCATTAAAAATGAAAGGAAAAACAAATGGTCGACAGTTGATTCTTTCTCAAGTCTGAGTATATTGAAAGACAATAGAGTTACCACATTATTCCTATATTTTTTTGTTTGTTTAAGAAAAAAAGATTGTTATTATTGACAATTACAACACAAGGACCAAACTTTCACTCTTTGTAATCTTCCCAAAATATGGAGGATCCAAAGATGATTAGTCAATAATTTATTCAACTAATCCATCAATCAATTCCTCTATTCTATCATTGCCGAACCCTAGTCTCTAATCAATGAAAAGTTTTATCCAACCCGGTTTTTCAAAGAAATAAAAGTGTTAGAGCAAAAATGAAACCAAAGATGGGGTCTCTAGAACTCATTTTAAGCAGAAAAATTTGTATGAAACCGGATAGCACTGTTTTGCGATCTTCGGCCAATCACATATTATCAAGTGAAAAACTTATCATGCATGACATACTGTGATTGGCCGAAGATAACAAAATAATGTTATCCCCGTTTCATGTAAGTGTTTCTTTATTTTAAGGTGTAGATAGAGGCCCCTTTGGAGCAAATAGTAACCATAAAAGGCTAAGAGCAACTTCAAAACCAAACCCAAAAACTCAATTTCACATTTCCTTAGCCCATTACATATATTTTGTCATCTTCATCATAATTCCGTTTTGTCTTTGCAATATTCCTAAATTTAAAATTTTAGGTAGTCTTTTTAAAGTAATAATGTAAATAGACAACAAGGTCTACACTAGTGGAAAATAATATTGACTTGGTTTTAGGTTCGAACTACCTCATAGCATCTTGGTTTAGACAAACTTGTCATCAATTGTGTGTGTAAGAAACCCCACTCTCTTTGTAGTTTAGACTATCACTTATATTAAAGAAAGGTAATAATGAAAATAATTTTTACTATTTGCATGATTTAATTTTTTTTATACCAAAATTAATAACAACATATACTGCATTTGTATTTTCCGACTTTATTTTATTTTTGGAGGTGTTCCAATTAAGCAAGAGAAATCAAATAGTAGTAAGCCAGCCCAGTCCAAGTCCTAAAAGCCCAACACAAAAACTCTAGTCAGCCCAAATCCACCTAAACCTAGGGTTTCGCTGAGCCGCCATAACTATATAATCGCTCATTTAGGGTTTTTCCTCACCACATTTGGCCGAAACCAGAGAGTGAGAGAGAGGAGAGACGAGAGACGAGAGAGGCACAATGGTTAAGTTTCTGAAGCCAAACAAGGCCATCATCATCCTCCAGGGCCGCTACGCCGGACGCAAGGCCGTGATCGTTCGCGCCTTCGACGATGGCACTCGCGATCGTCCATATGGCCACTGTTTGGTTGCGGGGATAAAGAAGTACCCCAGCAAGGTTATCCGCAAGGACTCGGCGAAGAAGACTGCCAAGAAATCCAGGGTAAAGCCCTTCGTCAAGCTCGTGAACTACCAGCACCTCATGCCCACTCGCTACACGCTGGATGTGGATCTCAAGGACGTCGTCAACGTTGAAGCTTTTGCGACCAAGGACAAGAAGGTGACTGCTTTGAAGGAGACCAAGAAGCGCTTCGAGGAGCGGTTCAAGACCGGGAAGAACAGGTGGTTCTTCACCAAGCTCAGGTTCTGAGGGAGCTCGAACGGCGTCGTGCTGGAAATGGGTCTGATTTTGTCTTCTGTTTTTCAAGTTAATTTTGGATTGAAAATGGTTTAGGATCTGTGTGGATGAGACTTTTTATGGATTTATGCATTAATGCTTAGTTAAACAATTAGATTTGTTATTACTAAAATGTTAAATTTGGCATTTCTTGCTTTACTATGTTACTTGAGATTTTATATCCTCATTGCTCATCTGTGTTGCTTGATACGTTCATTTTCTGCAATTGGTTTTTCGTGATTTGCTCCTGGATTACAATTTCGTTTTGGGATTCGTAGATATTGGATTTCAGTCTATCTTGTGCAGCTAGATGTGCTGATTTTGTGCATAGATGCTGTGCTTTTTGCACAAGATCATTTGGATTTTGTATTGTAAATTGTCCTGTATACTTACGTATCAGTTGAAGAGTCACTTGGTAATGCTAAACGAATCTGAGTTCATTGGTAAAACCATTTTACAAATTATATAGACCTGCCTACTCTTGTGAAAGTTATATGTTCCCATTTGGATTTTGCAACCTGAGTAATAAAACAAACCTAATCACCCAGGTGTTATGTCAAATGTTTTGTTCAAATTTATTCAAGATACCCAAGGTTTAGTTACTATTTACTACAACTTTCCAATAGTCAAGTCTTTTAATCTTAAGTATGCATCTTCTTAACTTGTTTTTTGTTGTTGTTGTAAATAAATGCTTTTTAAATCTCGAATGATTATGAAGGGTTTAGCTTTTTAAATATGTCGGGTCGTTAAAGTTTCCTGCTTAATGTGGTGGATTGAGTTATTGACTGAGTACTGTTGACCAATATAGTTGATTCCATAATCTGTTAAGGGCTTGTAGCATGAATATCTTGATGGGGGTGTTAGCGTTTCTGGTTTTTTGGCTAGTGTCTTTCGTCACAGTTTGTCAAATTTTTTTATGAATGAAATGTACATGAAGCAACTCAAAGAGTTATACTGTAGGGTTAAGCAGATCTTGTTGAGTTACTGGTTAGTGATAGATGACCCAACCTTATGCAAAATGTTTGATTTGTGTGTTATGATTTTTGTTGCTCAAGTGGACTTGCTGTTCGTTTTTGTTTGGATACTGTAATTTACTTGCCCTCTTTGCCCCTGCATGTGGCGTTGTGACTTCTTGAGGGTATGCTGCTTAGACTGGGTATTGCTCATCTGGATTCTGGACAGTGCAGATACTGTTGATGTTTTCTTTTGAATTAAGTTTTTGATTGATTTTTTGTGTTGCTTTGATGTTGCAAATATTAGACTTCATGTGGTGTTTTTTATCATGCAAGAACTCGGACCAGATTGCATGTTTGTTATGTTAGCAAACAAATCATTGGCAGCGGGATCGGTTATTTCTAGATCATTAGCAGTGCCTGTTAAATTTTCCGTGTGCGCTTGCCTTATCGAATCTTTGTTCTGATTGAAGGCTACGTATATCCAAAAAACTTGGAACAAGAACCATTTGCTATTGGGCTTTTTCTTGTTTGGGGATATTCATAGGATTTTCATTGAAGGGTTGATTTACTAATCAACCCTTGACCCAATAACCTAAGAATAGTGTTGAATTCCCGAAAAGGGCACATGACCATTAGGAGCTAGTAGCGGCCAGTGAAAAGGAAAGCAAAAGCGAAAAGGAAATGCGATACCGATGTTTTCTGGGTGGGTGACTTAATGTGCTGCAGTAAAAAGGCGTTAAAGTGGTGTATGGATTGAGACCCAAAAAAAAAAGTGGTGTGTGGATTGGATGTGAATGGTTTCAGTCTGGCTGGCTTTTGAGTCTCCCCTATATTTTGGCCCACCACCATGCTCTTGTTCTTTGCTAGTGTTGACATTTCCCTTCATAAATTCCAAGACTTAACAATGTCGTTCGGTCGTTAGGAAAACTTTATATAAAAAAAACTTGTCTTGTGTGTCTAGTGGACTAACCCAATTAGAGAAGAGGCTTTAGATTCTTTGTTCTGACTGAGAAGAGGCTTAGATTTAGATACATGCATCATTTGATGTATGAGTCAGATAACCGGCCCTCAATTAAAAACAGAAACAAAGAAGCATGGGGGGGTACAATAGATTCCTTTCCTCCATCATTTTGGTAGACATCAGTGATAGGCAGCCGATTTTACTCCGTACTTCTCTTTTCTTGATGAAGCAAGAGGTTTTGCTTATAGAGTAAGCAATAATTTGAATGCAAGCGATGCACTAAACTACAAGGGGAGGGGCCCTAGCACTACTAAGATGTCATAGAGGTTCAAACCTAAGATTGCGTTAGACTCCGTTGGCAAGCAAACCAAACCTCATTGTGTTGTATAGTACGCCATAGATCCTATATTTTTCCTGGGTTAAAAAATGCATTGGGCTGTAAGAAGAAAACAACATTGACTTTATATGAATTGCCATGAAATAAGAAAAAACTCACACGAGTCAAAATCTTTTACGATGAATATAGTTCTCTGATTATAGTAATCAAAGTAGTTTAAGTTTGTTGGTGCTGCTCATCTCCTACACTCCATCCTCAAATCAGAGCTTTTGCTCTGGAGGCGTTGGCTCTGTAGTTTAATGGTCAATTTTGACCAATCCACAGATCGCTTGAGCTTGATGCACGGTGGTGGCTTGCTTCCCCGAATCCACGCTCTTCAGATCTCCTTTGTCGGTTCTCTTGGACCTTCCTCTACTGGCGGCGACGGCAGATCGGGTGGCAGCGGCGGCGGCTGCTTAGATCTTGGGAGTGTTTTTAGGGTTTCGTTTGTCTTAGGGTTTTTTTTGTTGTGTTGGGCCTAAAGTATGTGTATTATGGTTGAGCATTTATTTTGTTTGGTTGTGCTTTTGTTTTTTGTTTTGTTTGTTGTATTGGGCATGTTTGTAACTTGTTATGTTAATGGAATTTCCTTTCCTTCGACCAAAAAAAAAAGAAAAAAAAAGTAGTATGTATTTATTTATTTATCTTTTAAAAAAGAAAAAAGATGAATGGTGAGAGTCGAACCCTGGCTTGTGGAGCTGCAAGCGGCCACCAAAATTCCCAGAATTTGTGAATTTTGAATGCTCTAGATGTTTGCATCCAACCAAACAAACTATATTCAAATGCTGATTTGTTTTATATGGGAGATAAAATTAACAAATAACACAAATCAATGTCAACACAAGCAACAAACCATCAACCCTTATAATCTTCCTAAAACATCGACCCGAGAATCCAAAGATGATGCTAATTATACGATTAAGAAACTGATTAACCAATAATCTATTCAACTGATCCATCAATCAATCCCTTTATTCTATCATTTTCCCTAATCCCCCAACACAACAAACGGGCTTAACGACACGCCCAAACGGAGTACCTAACGAGGGCGATCTCCCTCACACGTGTCACTCCCACGCTCACACGGATCCCATCCCCCAACCCGAACCAAACGGACTTATCCTATTTTGATTTTCTCCCCTAACCCCCTCTAAAGTTGTCAAACTTTCTGTCTCTTTTCTCCCATTTTCTCTCTCTCCAAACACCACCCTTTCTCCTCTCTCTCTCTCTCTCTCTCTCTCTCTCTCTCTCTCTGTGACACCACCTCCTCTCTGCAAACTTCACTGTGCAAGCCTTTGCTTGTCTTTCTTGCTTTTCTTTGTCTCTTTCCGCTCAAAAGCTTCCTCATTTTTATATTCTCTATCACCCTCTCCACAATCGCACACACTCATCATCTTCTGACAGTCATGCTTCAGAGCTTAGTTCCTCAATCCCCAATCGGCGCCGCGAACCCTAACAATAACCCTAGCTCCTCATCTTCCTCCATGAAGACCAAACGCGTCGACCGCGACCTCGCCGGCGGAGAATCATCCGGCGAAGACCCCTCCTTCACCAAGCGCCCCAATTCCAGCCGGAATTTCTCCCGCGAAAAAACCTCAGACGAGCGCGAGACGGAGCCGGTTGCTGAGGGCGAGTCGGCCGGTCTCAGACTCCTCGGGCTTCTCCTACAATGCGCCGAGTGCGTCGCCATGGACAGCCTCGAAGAAGCCAGCGACCTCCTCCCGGAGATCGCCGAGCTCTCCTCGCCGTTCGGATCTTCGCCGGAGCGAGTTGGCGCGTATTTTGCGCACGCGCTTCAGACGCGCGTGATCAGCTCCTGCTTAGGCACCTACTCTCCCCTCACCACCAAAACCCTAACCTTAGCTCAGTCCCAGCGGATCTTCAACGCTCTGCAATCGTACAACTCCATCAGTCCTCTAGTCAAATTCTCTCACTTCACGTCCAACCAAGCCATCTTCCAGGCCTTGGACGGCGAGGATCACGTCCACGTCATCGATTTGGATATAATGCAAGGCCTCCAGTGGCCAGGATTGTTCCACATCTTAGCCTCGCGGTCGAAGAAGATCCGATCAATGCGGATAACCGGGTTCGGATCCTCGTCGGAGCTTCTGGAGTCGACCGGGCGGAGACTAGCCGATTTCGCGAGCTCGCTCGGCCTCCCCTTCGAGTTCCAGCCCCTGGAGGGCAAAATCGGAAGCATAACCGACCTGAGTCAACTTGGAGTGAGACCGGACGAGGCCACAGTGGTCCACTGGATGCACCATTGTCTGTACGACGTCACCGGCAGTGATTTGGCGACGCTGAGATTGCTGGGCTCGCTGAGACCGAAGCTGATCACGATCGCCGAGCAGGACCTGAGCCATAGCGGAAGCTTCTTGGGAAGGTTCGTGGAGGCCTTGCATTACTACAGTGCGCTGTTTGATGCGCTTGGGGATGGATTGGGAGCGGACAGCCTAGAGAGGCATATGGTGGAGCAGCAGCTGTTCGGCTGCGAGATTAGGAATATTCTAGCCGTGGGCGGGCCCAAGAGGACCGGGGAGGTGAAGGTGGAGAGGTGGGGGGATGAGTTGAAGCGGGTCGGGTTTCGGCCCGTTTCGCTTGGCGGGAACCCGGCGGCCCAGGCAAGCTTGCTGCTTGGGATGTTTCCCTGGAAAGGATACACCTTGGTTGAGGAAAATGGGTGCTTGAAGTTGGGTTGGAAGGACCTCTCCTTGCTCACAGCCTCTGCTTGGCAGCCGTTGGATTGAATTACTTTGACCCGATTGGGCGATTGGGTTGCTTGGATGACCAACATGATCCACCACTTTGTTTATTGGGGTGAAATTGATGAACATTGGGGAGTGATGAATTTGAT